TACAGTGTATCCCGTGAAGCGCTTTGAGATGTCTCGAAGGCACTGCATCAAATGCAAGGATTATTATTATTATTATTATTATTATTATGGGGAAGTGTTCAGCAAGTCATCCACATGAAGTGCAGCGACTGTATGTCTCGTGGGTGAGAAGCGGCAGCCGAACGTGCACGGCTGCGTCCCACAAACTCTCGTGGATGGAGTGACCGGGCTATTATTATTTTTCGAGCGGTCTCGGGAGCGGGACTGGATCCCCCCGTGCGTGTCGCGTCAGCCCGGCTCAGTTGATCGGCTCTCTCACCTCTTGAGTCAGAAGGTTGCGGGCTCAAGCCCCACTTCAGGACTTTAAACGACAACAAGAACACAAAACTAATACTGATAATACTCCTAGCATTTGACATCGCGTCCCATCACGTCTCCGAGACGTCTCAAAGCGCTTCACAGGATGCACTCGGTTCTGTTTTTGACCAGTGACTCGGGATCTTTACCGTCCGCCGGGGCAGGCAGACGGGACGCTGATTTACCAACCCATCCAAAATGACGCATCCCAAGCTGCTGGACAGTCAGGGGGTAGAAGGCTGACCGAAGGCAGGGTCGGTCAAAGAGGAGGGTCTTGAGACGGGCCTCGAGGGAGGCAAGGGAGGGAGCAAGATGAAGAGAACGTTAGGAGGGCGTTCCAGAGGGGTGGGAGCGTAGAGGCCGATGGCCCCGACTGACGCTGGTGAGGCCGTGGAGGGCCTTGAAGGTGAGTAGGAGAATGAAGGGAGAGAGTTAATGAACGTAGAGTATTGTAGGGAAGCAGAGCAGAGATTTACATACAGCCGAGATCCAACAGACAGCAGTGAAATGAGTAACCAGTTTGGGTGGGCAGGAATCCAGGGGAAACGCCCTGTGCTCTAATTTTCCCTTCTCAATAGTGTCGAGAGACCGGAGTTCAATTCCAGGCAGAGGGCGAAACCTCGGGCAAGTTTCCTTACTCCACACAGAGCCTAATAACAATCCCTCCAAAACCCAAAACAATAATTAAATGGGTCATTTTCAATCTACGACTGTTTGTGGGACATTGCTGTGCGCAATTGGCCGCCGCGTTCGCCCACAAATATACAGTCAATTCACTTTACAGTGTGTTCTGTGAAGCGCTTTGGGATGTCCTCCCGACGTGAAAAGCGCTACATCAAATGCGAGGATTATTATTATTATTATTACATGAAGCGCTGTTGTAAACGCATCGTCGAGATGCCTCAAAGCGCTTCACCGGGATACGCTGTGAGGCTTTCCTTGGCGGGCGAAAGGCGGTGGCCAGTTGCGCACCGTGGCCTTCCACAAACCCTCGTGGATTGAAGCGACTCCTTTTTTTTTTTTTAGAGAGAGGAATTGCTATCCTCGGCAAAGTGATCCGCCAATTGACCGCTTGCTGCCAGGTAAACAGAGGCGTGCGCGCGCTTCGTAGATGCGTCGAATGTTACGGCACGGAAGGAGGCCACTCGGCCCATCGTTTGCGTGTGCATTGAAGAAACTCTGCCCGATATTTGGCCCTGACCTGCCCCGGGAATCGGACCCAGGTCCCTCCGGCTCGCGAGCCAGCGCTCTGATCACTGAGCTACAGGACCCCCATGTCTCTATGTATCTGTGCAGTGACCAACCCTTCCCCTCCGCTGCGTGTTTGCCGGAGGCGGTTACCTGTGGGCAGAATCACCTTCCCCTCGGCGCCTTGAACGGTTGTGAGAGCAGAAGCAAAAAAAATCAGATGCATTGCCGTATCGGAGCACTCAGACGAGTGACTCATTTATTCTCACTGTGATTTCATTACACCAATGTCATGTAACAGTTACTAAGGAATGACTAGATTGAGTCGCGCTCGTCAATCTCGCCAGAGGCAGATGTTTCAGCTACTATTTCTACTTCAGCGAACCCGTAAGAGATTTACACGGCCTCGGCCGTCGCCGCGGAACAGTCCCGTCACGAATCCGTGATCACCACAACAACAACGACAACAAGTAGCATTTGCGCGGCGGCGCCTCTCTCAAAGCGTCGGAGGCCGAAGCGCGCGCCGCAGGAAGAGCGAAGCTTTTTTTTTCCCCCCGAAGCTTTCCCTTAACTATTTCCCAATCGAAAGCAGGAATAACTTAAACTCGCGAGCATCGAGTGGGCAAATCCTACTTCCACATCCCGCCCGCCCGCCCGCCACCCAAGCCGCCCAGCGTCCCGCAAGCCCAGAGAGTTGAGGTCCGAAGTGTTTGCGTTGCAGAGCCCCAGTGAGAGTGGGGTGGGGGGTTAGGCCTCGGATTTACACCAGGTAAGCCAGCCAGCCGATGGCCAGAGCCACGCTAGTCAGGAGAGGCATTCTGATACCCGAGCCCCCGTTACACAGGTCTCTTTCGCAGCACGTGGTGTTCAGTGACACTGTAACGCCGAACAAGCTTTCCTGAAAGTTCTTGTTGCAGCTACTTCTTTCAATGCATCCTGACGTGTACACCGCGTAGGACTCTGTAAATATAGAAACGCACAATTTAGAAGCTCAGAAGTCAAACACCCAGCACCTTAATAAATTGGTCGCTCGAGCGGAGGGCTGGACAAGTGGTGGAGGGAGGGAGGGAGGGAGGGAGAGAGGGAGGGATAATTGTGGGATAATTGTCTGCCGCCTTTCGACCGCAAAACACACAGTCAATTCACTTGACAGCGTCGTCCGTGTGGCGCTTCGCGAGACGTCTGGAAGACGCGATAAGGCGCTGCGTCAAGTGCAAGGGTTAAGGATTAAGATTACGCTGCTGTCCTTCGGATGGGATATTGACCCGGGCTCCCGTCTGCCCGCCTGTTTAGGTAGACGTTAAAGGTCTTCGAGCAGCACAGGGAGTTTCCACTGGTGTCCCGGCCGACAACTCCCTCCACTAGAAATCGGTCACTCCCATTGACTATCCGTGGAACGCCGCTTCGCACGAGTTGGCTCGCTTCCAAACGACAGTCGCTGCGTTTCAAGGTACACCCCGCGAAACACCGTGAGACGCCCCGCCAGCGTTTTGCGCATAAAGTATCGGTTAAAAAAACGCGACTTACTAATTTTGCCGACCCTCTCATAGCAGACTTTGCCGCCAGTGCAATTCTTGGCACCGGAGATGCATTTGCTGGTAGATATGATGCAGTTGAAGCATGTCAAGCCGGCTCCTGTACGTTGGAAAACACGCAGAGCAAAGTCAGGTCATGTTCTGATGCTCAGCCCCACAGTAGTCAAGTCGCGGCGGAGTCCTATCGCGCAGCGGTTAGAGCGTTCGCCTGGCAAGCGAAAGGGGACGTGGGTTCGATTCCCAGGCGGGTCAGGGCGAAACGTTGGGCAAGTTTCCTAACTCCACACACACACGCGCGCGCGCGCACACCCACACACACACGCCTCTGTTTACCCAGCAAGTAAGCAGTCGATTAGGGCGGATTGCTTTCCCGGGGATAACACGGACATAATAATTATTTTGGTGACTCATTCCGCGACTGTCTGCGGGCACGTCGCCGTGCGCAATTGGCTGCCTCGTTTCGCCCGCAAAACGCAGTCACTACGCCTTGCTGTGTATCCGTGAAGCGCTTGGAGAGGTCTCGAAGAAGTGATCAGGCGCCGTATCAACCGCGAGGGTTATTATTATTATCGTAACGCCCGGTGAACGAGTGCTGTCCGTCGCTGCTGCGTGAAAGTTGCCAACTTCCTGTTAACATTAACTTTCCTTACACTGCGGGAATATTTTTTTTGGGGGGGAGCTTTTTAATACAAAATCTCTTTGTGGGCGTTTTTTCGCGCTGATTTCTGAAGGTATGCGACTGGAATGCGAAAATGATATCTGCCTCAACTTCTTTCTGCTGATTGTGTATCCGGATTATGGCTCTCAATGGAAAAGAGGACCATCAAATAGTAAGATTAACACTGAAAGAACTTACCAAGAGCCCAACGAGTGGATAGAGTTATTTTTTTTAAGTAGGAGGGCGGCAGATTTTATCCCTGATCTGCTTGTGTCGGACCCGATAAACTTTCTGCCCACGAGCTGTTACAGTCAATTCGCTTTACAGTATATTCTCTCAATAATAATAACAATAATAATAATAATCCTCGCATTTGAAACAGCGCCTTTGCATGTCCTGGAGCCGTCTTGGCGACGCCATAGGGCGCTATATCAAATGCAAGGATTATTATTATTATTATTGTCGTCTGGACGCGCGTCGAAGCCTCGCGCGCGGGCGCGGGCGGAGAAAGGATCAAAACATCAGATATTTGACCCAGAAACGCGGTGCGTTCAAAGCGTTCGTCTGCGTTTTTCGGACGCCAAACAAACGAGGGCTCACCGTAGGCGACGAACAGCAGGAGCAAAGATCCGAGCACGAGTTGAAACCTCATTCTTCCCGATACGCGAGCGGTCAGACCTCCGGAGAAAGCGATTGCCGAGCGACCAGAGGGAGACCTTCCACCTCAAATCCGGAAGACTCTGTGGCCAGCGCCCCCAAGCTCAAGCCCTTTTGAAGCGTCACGGAAAGGGGCGTCAAGCCTTTTACGCTGACGCAAAAACCCACCCACCGTTTAAAAAAAACCAAACCAGATGTTCGACTGTAGCTGAACGTCACACAAAGCCCTCCCTCCCTCCCTCCCGCTCTCCCTCCCAAGTCTACCTCTCATGCTTCAAGTATTTAAAACGAAAACTCCCTCACCTGTGAGTTTCAGTCCAGCATCAATAGGTGAAATAATAATAATAATAATGATGACAATAATAATAATTCTTGCATTTGATATGCAATATAATCCCTCCAAAAAAACAAAACGATAATAAAATTGGTCATTTTCAATCCACGACTGTTTGTGGGACGTCGCTGTGCGCAATTGGCTGCCGCGTTCGCCCACAAATTCACTTTACAGTGTGTTCTGTGAAGCGCTTTGGGACGTCCTCCCGACGTGAAAAGCGCTATATCAAATGCAAGGATTATTATTATTATTATTATTATATAGCGCTTTTCACGTCGGGAGGACAATCCCAAAGCGCTTCACAGAACACACTGTCGAGTGAATTGGCTGTATGTGTTTTGTGGGCGAACGCGGCGGCCGACGGCGCGCGGCAACGTCCCACAAACAGTGGTGGACCGAGTGACCGAGTTATTATTATTATGAGTATTATTATTTGGAAGGGGTTAGTACCACTCCCGGAAAAAGTGATCCCGCCAACCGACCAACAGCCCGGGGCTCGCGGGTGGAAACTCGCCTGAGGTTTCGCCCTGACCTGCCCGGGAATCGAGCCCGGGTCCCCCTCGCTGGCGAGGCGAGGCGAGCGCCCGCACCCTGCGAAGCGGGCGGGCGACGTCTCGAAGGGACGTCTCGAAGCGGCCACAGCTTCACCATCGGATCCACTTGGGATCGCCTTTCTTCGGTGGGGGTTAGTAACCCCTTCGAAACGAAGCTCAGCTTAAAAAAAAAAATAACGGCTTGACGATTTGGCGGCTCAGCCCGCGGCCGTTCGCGGGACGCCGCGGCCCGCGCGTCGGTGAGCCGACGGGTTCCGCCCACGCAACGCGCGGCCCATTCGCTTCAGGGCGCGTCCGCCTTCGGAGACGTTCTCGAAGACGTGGTCCCGAAGGCCTTGTCCCGAAGGCGAGGATCGCTCATTGTTAAGAGAGACCCGGAACGCGGGCGGCGCTTGACGTGAACCGCAGGGCCAACCGAACTGTTTACGAGGGTTTCCTTTAAGCATTTGTGTGAAGCGAAGAAGGAATGACCTGCGATTGGCAAATCTACTTTCACGTCCCGTTTTTCCCCCCTTCTCCCTCGCGGCATGAAATTTAAACGATATTTTCCCCGTCCCCGTCCGCAACAAGCGTCCCAACAAGCCTAGAGAGTCCCGGTCAATCCCACTGCTCCGCCCGCCCGCCCACCACCACCCACCCACACACACCCACCCCGCCCACCAACCCTAAAACCCACCCAGACTCAGAGTTACCGTCTGAGATTAATGTATTAATAATAGCAATAATAATCCTTGCATTTCACATAGCGCTTTTCACGTCGGGAGGACATCCCAAAGCGCTTCACGGGACACACTGTAAAGTGAATTGACCGCATATTTGTGGGCGAACGCGGCGGCCAATCATAATAATAATAATCATTGTTGATTTACTTGCGGGCGCTTTCTCTGGAACTGTGACATTGAAAATAGCAGCAAATTAAGGAACTAAATACCCCACATCCATTTTTCGAGACATCTCAAGGCGCTTTAGAGGATACTTTAGAGTGAATTGACTGTATATTTCGTGGCCGAAATGCGTGGACTGATTGCGTACAGCAATGTCAAACAAACAGTCAATCGAAGTGATTGATTACAGTCAATTGAAGCCTCCGATTACATGGCAGTAAGTAGGACACTGGTTGTCAATCGATTGGCCGATCGATTTTCTAGGGGTAGTAATAATCCCTTCAAAATAACAATATTAACGATAATAATTTGGTCACTCAGTCCACGACAGTTTGTGGGACGTCTCTGTGCGCAATTGGCTGCCGCGTTTCACCCGCAAAACGTACAGTCAATTCGCTCTCGTCGCTGTGTATTCTGTGAAGCGCTTTGAGACGTCTCGAAGAGTTGGAAAGCCACCGTACCGAGTGCAAGGATTAAAATCCCCCCAAATAGTCTCCCCGCGCGGTGGAAGTCAACTTCGAGACGTCTCAAAGCAATGCAAAGGGGGGAAAAAAAAATGCCAAGGCTCGTGGCCACCTTGTGGCAATGATCGGTCGCTTCACCATCAAACCTCTCGAGGATCTCATTTCCGGGGGTGATAACCACTCCAAAACAGAACCAAATTAAAAAAAAAAACGCGGTCACTCACTCCGCGACTGTTTGTGGGACGCTGCCGAGTGCAGTTGGCGCGGGCGCGGGCGCTCGTGAGGCCGAGAGCTCTAACGACTGAGCTGTAGGTCTCCACAATGCTCCCCATAGACTGTAAAGTGGCAATGGTTACAATAATAATAATAATTAATAATAATAATAATAATACAATCCTTGCATTTGATACAGCCCCTCGTCACGTCTTCGAGACGTCTCAAAGCGCTTGACAGAATGCGCCGTAAAGTAAGCGGTTCTCGGGCTCTCGGTCTGGCGGACACTTGAGGCATATTTGCGGGCGACAGGCGGAGGAGGGTGTCCCTGGAATAGATGTGGGCGATTTAGTTCCTTATTTTGCCGCTGTTATCGTGTGTCACGGTTCCGGAGGCAAGTCCCAGAAAAACGAGAAGCAAAGGGACCTCGTGGGTTTTTTTTTCTGCCTCTCCCGTGAAACGCTGGTTGAGAAGTCCCCAGTTCCAGCTCGTTGGGCGAGAGGTACATGGGGTTGTACTTACCCCGCGGCGATAGCGTCGCACGCCGCCTTCCGTACGTGGGGAAACGCAGAACCCCCGGTGAATGTGGATGTGCCCCGCGCGCCGCACAAGAGCGATGTAAACCCTTGAAGACGAGAGGAACACAATCCCAGCCCTAAGCGACCTGACACCGTCAGTCCTCGCGCTCCTGGCTCAGACCCGGGAACCGAACCCAGGGACCCCAGCACTCGGAGATACTTCACCCTCAACGTCCTCGGCTAAAAGATCCGGCAAATAGACGTGAGAGGAGACCAAATAAAGTTATTATTATTATTATTATTATTTGTTTGAGAAGGGAGTATTAAGCCTCCGCCTATGTTCCCTGGAAGAACTCACCCCGTTTATTTAATTCCAGAGAGCGTGAGGCGCGCGCGCCGGTTGGCGAGAGCCAAGGATTCGGTACCTGGAGTTTGTGTTGGGGTACAGCTGGACTTTAACCAACTAAAACTGGTCTTAATTGACACCTTGAAGTCATCAAATCTTTTTCCCAAACCAGACTGCAAGACACCAAGAGTTCAATTAACATCCGTTTATGTCAAACGTCACAGAACCCAAACGCACAGACCCCCAAATCCCTTTCCGTGGAGTCCTGTGGCTCAGTGGTTAGAGCACTCGCTTTGCGAGCGAGAGACCGGAGTTCAATTCCCGGCAGAGGGCGAAACCTCGGACAAGTTTCCTTACTCCACACAGAGCCTAATAATATTCCCTCCAAAACCCAAAACAATAATAAAATTGGTCATTTTCAATCCACGACTGTTTGTGGGACGTCGCTGTGCGCAATTGGCCGCCGCGTTCGCCCACAAATATACAGTCAATTCACTTTACAGTGCGTTCTGTGAAGCGCTTTGGGACGTCCTCCCGACGTGAAAAGCGCTATATCAAATGCAGGGATTATTATTATAGTAGTTAAGCTTTTCGATCTCTGGTTTATCTCTGATTTATTAAGCTGTGAACAGTCACAGCGACGAACGAAGATAAAGGCAATGAATCACACCAATAAGATCGACATTGGGAAAGGCACGAAACCCGAGTCACAAAGTTCAGGGGCAATGAATTCGTCAGAACTGATACCGGGGAATAGACTTGTAAATGCGATTCGATTGATGTTGATTCCGGAATATCTCCTTTCTCAAGATCGGTTAGACTCGCTTTCTTTGTTCCCCAAATCAGACCTTTTTATAATAGTAATAATCATAATAATAATAATAATAATCCTCGCATTCGATACAGCGCTTTTCGCGTCGGGAGGACGTCCCCAAAGCGCTTCACGGAACACACTGTAAAGCGAACTGACTGTATATTTGTGGGCGAACGCGGCGGCCGATGGCGCACAGCGACGTCCCACAAACAGTCGTGGGTTGAAAATGGCCAATTTATTATTGTTTTGGGTTTTGGAGGGATTGTTATTAGGCTCTGTGCGGAGTAAGGAAACTTGCCCGAGGTTTGGCCCTCTGCCGGGGATTGAACTCGGGGTCTCTCGCTTGCGAGGCGAGCGCTCTAACCACTGAGCTACGGGACACCACAATGATCGCACCTCTCTTCGTACGTACGAGGAAGGAAACACTTGGCTGAGGTGCGGGGACGTGATAAGAGGGAAGGTCAGAGTACGAAAAGTGGTCAAGGAAACGTTAAGACCTTTAGACCAAAAGATGTAGGGGCGGGAGGAGGCCATCCGGCCCCTCGAGCCGGCCACACCATTTAACAAGATCATGGCTGATCCCCTAAGCTCATTCCATTTACCCGCCCTATCCCTACATCCCTTCATCCCTCTATCCTTCAGAAATCTATCAAACTCAGTCTGGAATATGTTCAAGGACTGAGCATCCACAGTCTTCTGGGGTAGAGGACTCCACAAATTCACTGCCCTCTGAATGAAGAGATGTTTCCTCAACTCGGCTTGAAACAGGGCTGACCCTGACTCTCGAGACGACGACGTCTAGTTTTAGACTCCGCAACCGGGGAAACAGTTTCGCAGCATCTACCGGGTCAAGACCTTTAAGAATCTTATAGGTTCCCATAGGATCGCCTCTAATCCTTCTACATTCTTCTCGCAGGTCAACGGCCCCCCCCGTCCCAGGAACCAACCCAGTGAATCTACACCGCACCCCCTCCAAGGTGAGTGTGCGTCCTTTCTTAAATAAGGAGACCCTGAACTGCACACGATATTCCAGGTGCGGTCTCACCCACTTCAACTTGCTCTTGTACTTTAACCCTTTTGCCACCAACGCCAAGATGGCATCCGCCTTCCTGGTTTGCTTGCTGTGTCTGCGTCCCGTCCTGGCGCGCAAGGACGCCCCCAAATCCCCTCCGAACACTAACGCTACCTCGGCTCTCTCCCCTCCCCCCCCCCCCACCCCTCTAGGAAATAATCCGCTTTTCCATTTTTACTACCTCGGCGAATAACTTCGCACTTCCCCGCGTTATCTCCAATTATAGCTTAATCCCCGTGTTAAACAGGAACACTCTGAGCGGATGAAGAGTCGTGTAAACGAGTCGTATACAAACTTGTGTAACCAGTCAAAAAAGTATGAGGAAAAGCACCATCGAGGGCGTGTGGGCAGGTGAGGTCCATTACCTGAGTGAAGTATCTCTCTCCGCGAACACGCGGTCGCTTAAGGAACCAAACAAGTGAGTTAGAAGCACCGATTTCAGCTTAAAGCCGAACGTTTACGAGGTAACCGGCTATCTACAGACCGTAAGATTCCCCCTTCAGTGGCGCGGAAGTTATGTGATGATAATAATAATTTAAGTTAATAAGTTACGAGCCCTACTGTAGTGTGATGTTATCAGTAGAATGATAAGCTACTGGAGTATCTCATCAGGGGCAGAGTGTCTGAACGCCCGGCCTCCTGCTCGTCCCCCCCCCCCACCCGCCCCCCCCACCAACCCCCCCACCACCCCCCCCGCTCCACCATTGGAGGTCGTGCATTCAGCCACCACGCCCCGAAACTCTGGAATGCTCTCCCTCAATCCCTCCCGCCTCTCCCTCCCTCCCTCCCTCCACCCCCGCACCCCCCCCCCCCCGCCCACCGCCTTGGCTCCGAGTCAAGCTCCGCCACTGATAAGCGCTCCGAGCCGTTACTGTGTGAGTGCACTTTATTGTCGCTGTATCAGGCGCCGCGATTATTAATTATTAAGAGAGAGACCCAGAACGTGGCCGAAGCTTAACATGAGCCACAGGGCAACTGAACAGTTTCCTTTAATCATTTGTTCGAAGCAAAGAATGACCTGCGATCGGCAAATCTACATTCACGTCCCACTCCCGCTCACGGGTTAAAATTCAAACAATATTTCCCCCCCACCGTTACCCCCCCCCCCGTCCCACGTCCCACCCCAAACCCCAAGCGTCCAACGAGCCCAGAGAGTCACGGTGCGATGGGTGGACGTTGTGGAGCTCCAGCGAGAGTAGGGGAGGCCTCGGCTTTACAGCAGATACGCCAACCAGGCAAAGGCCATGGCCGCGGCGGTCACCAGAGGCATTCTGACAGCCGGGGCCGCGTTACACAGGTCGGTCGAGCAGCAGAAGGTTTCTATGGAGTTTTTCACGCCATTGAAAATTTGTTCCGCGTATAGGTTGCACACTTCAGGTATGGCACAGCCCGCTAAATACCCCACATGATCCCCTGTAACAGTACAGACACCTGGTTATAATCATAATAATAATAATAATAATAATAATAATAATAATAATAATAATAATAATAATAATCCTTGCATCTGAAACAACGCCTTATCATGTCGTTGAGATGCTTGAAAAGTGCTTCACAGAATATATGGTGGTGAAGCGAATTGGTTTTTGCGGGCAAAACGTTGCCGCCTCACGCGCGCAGCGACCAAATTAGTCTCGTTCATTTTTGGACGAGGGGTGGGGTGGGGGGGGGAAGGAAGGGATTTTTATACCCTCAGAAAAGCGATCCGACCGTTCAACTGACAACCGGGTTCCTACGTTTGCTGCCGAGTGAACGGAGGTGAGTGTGTGCGCGCGCGGGTCAGGGAAACCCGCCTCATATTTTGCCCCGGACGGGCCCCGGGAATCAAACCCAGGTCGCCCGCTTGCGAGGCGACTGCTCTAACCGCTGAGCCGCAGGACTCCGGATAACATCCCGGAAGATCTCGGGTTGAGGTGAAAGGATGAGGAGGGACTGAGGTAAGAGATAGAATTTCACCGGGGACCCGAACGAGCCGTCGGATCACTCACCAGCCTTAGCCACGGTCTTGGAGCACTGCTCAGCGGCTGTAGCGCAGGTCCGTTCACCCGACATACACGGCACAGGGGTGGTTTCGCTGCAGCTATAGCATTGCAGGCCGTCTCCTGCATGTGGGGAAACACAGAAGCGGTGAATAATAATAATAATAATAATAATAATAATAATAATACTTGCATTTGATACAGCGCCTCATTACACCTTCGAGACGTCTCAAAGCGCTTCTTAGGAAACATTGTGAAGTGAATCTACTGTTTAGTTTATGGACAAAAACGAGGCATCCAACGTGCGCACAGCAGCGTGCCACAAACAGTCGTGGATTGAGTGACCGCTTATTTTTTTTTAGGGGATCAATACCCCCAGAAAAGCGATTGGTGGAAGTCCTGTAGCTCAGTGGTTAGAGCACTCGCTTTGCAAGTGAGAGACCTGAGTTCAATCCCAGGCAGAGGGCGAAACCTTGGGCAAGTTTCCTTACTCCGCACAGAGCCTAATAATAGTCCTCCAAAACCCAAAACAATAATAAATTGGTCATTTTCAATCCACGACTGTTTGTGGGACATCGCTGTGCGCCATCGGCCGCCGCGTTCGCCCACAAATATACAGTCAATTCACTTTACAGTGTGTTCTGTGGAGCGCTTTGGGACGTCCTCCCGACGTGAAAAGCGCTATATCAAATGCAAGGATTATTATCATTATTATTATTATTATTATTATCCGCCAATTGACTAACAACCAGGTTCCTTACCAGGAAACAGAGGCACGAGTGTGTGCGCGGAGCAAGGAAACCCGCCTCGCGTTTGGCCCTGATCCGCCCGGGGGATCGAGCCCGGGTCCTCTCGCTTGCGAGGCGACTGCTTTCATTTTAAAAAAAGAAATAATAACCAAACCCTTACCGTAGGAGACACCCAGGAACAGCAGGGACCCCAGCACCAGGAGATACGTCATCCTCTCTGTATCCTGTGGTACAAAGACCCGGCAAATAGACGTGAGAGGAGACCCACGAGAGCTCTCGTCGCCGAAACGAGGGAACTCTTGACTCGTAGTCCACCTTTGGCTCCAAACCCTTTATAAAAGGTTCCGGTGAATTGGGGGTATCATAAACCGCACTTTTACGTCACTCTTAGTTTTATCTTAAAGGACAATTCTGCATTCCGGGCCCGGCCCTCACACCCACTCACAGAGTCAAAGTCTACTGAGGTAATCCGCGGCTCGTACCAGCCGCACAAAATGACACGCCTTTCGCCTCGGGGGTGGGGGGTGTGGGGGGGGCACTGAACAGTCGGGGATCAGGGCCCGAGCTTGGCGGGGCGGGGCGGGGCGGGGTTGGGGTTGGGGGGTGAGGGAGGGCATAGGTGCAGGTGGTGGCTGAGGGCACGGTCGAAAAGGAGGGCCGTGAGAGCGCGCCTCGGAGGAGACGAGGGAAAACGAGCGAGGCGAAGGGAGTGTGTGGGATGGGGTTCCAGAGGGTGGGGGCAGGGTGGGCCGAAGGGTGGGTTTGGGCGGGAGACACGGAGCAGGTCGGAGCCCTCCTTTCTCCCCCTCAAGGACGGTTGAGTGTCGAACAAGAAGCCGAGGCGAACGGAGGGAGCGGACAGGCTGATGGGGGGGTGGGTGGGGGGGGGGGGGGTCACAGCGGGTCGGAGAGGCGGAAAGGGGGCAAAGCCGCGGAGGGCCTCGAAAGTGAGGACAAAGATTTCGAACTCCATCCTCTGGGATAGAGGCGTCGGAGTCGAGGCACCGACCTTACAGAAAGGCGGAACACGCTTGAGGGGCTGAATGGCCTCCTCCAGTTCCTACATTCCTGGGACTAATAAATAAATAATAAATAATAAACAATAATAATAAATTGGTCATTTTCAACCCACGACTGTTTGTGGGACGTCGCTGTGCGCAATCGGCCGCCGCGTTCGCCCACAAATAGACAGTCAATTCACTTTACAGTGTGTTCTGTGAAGCGCTTTGGGACGTCCTCCCGACGTGAAAAGCGCTATATCAAATGCGAGGATTATTATTATTATTATTATTATTATTACGACAACTCGGTCACTCAATCCACGACCGTTGGTCGGACGTCTCTGCGCGCAGTTTGGCTGCCGGGTTTCGCCCACCAATGCGCAGCCGAATTCGCTTTGCGGTCCTATTTCCGCAAATGGACGCGATCCATATCAAACGTCAAGGATTATTATGGTTATTATTCACTCGACCTCGACCTCGTCTCTCGCCCCTTTCGAGTCTTTCGAGACAGCGATACGTGTCTCGCCTCTCAATCTTCCCGTTGTTTCCGGCGTGAATGCGCCCGATTTACTGAGTCGCTCCCCGCAGTCCAGTCCTTCCGCTCCCTCACTCAATCTGGTCGCCCTCCTCCGTATCTTCTCGAGTTCTCCAGTACACTTTTTTGCACTGCGGTGACCGGTGACGGTCTCCGAGTGCAGTCTCACCGATGATTTACACGAGTGACCTGTGTAATGTGGCCTTAAGCTTTCGAATCCCCTTCGCTCCCTGGTACCTCCCTACCTCTCCGACCTCCTCACTCGCCAACCCGCCACCCGTCCCCTCCGCCAGACGGGCACCGGTCCTCCTGCTCGTCCCCCGCGCCCTCCCCTTCGCCGTTGGAGAAGAGAGAGACCCGAGTTCAATCCCCGGCGGGTCAGGGCCAAACCTCGGGCAACTTTCCTTACTCCACACAGAGCCCTAATAATAATCCTCCAAAACCCAAAACAATAATAAATTGGTCATTTTCAACCCACGACTGTCTGTGGGACGTCGCTGTGCGCAATCGGCCGCCGCGTTCGCCCACAAATATACAGTCGATTCACTTGACAGTGTGTTCTGTGAAGCGCTTTGGGACGTCCTCCCGACGTGAAAAGCGCTATATCAAATGCAAGGACGATGTGGGTGGGGTTGGGGGTGTGGGTGGGGGGACTGAGATGTACTATTGTAGTTTCACTTTCATGCAGTGAAGAAACGAAACTTAATTATTATGTAAATGTCGTTTTTGATACTCCCGGTTCACCTGAAGGACTTATAAAAGCTTCGGCAAACAGGAGTGGGTCAGAGTTTTCTGTATCGGTGGCGAAAGGCACTTTATTCCGTCTCCTCTCACATCTATTTGCCGGATCTTTACCGCGAGGACAGCGAGGATGAAGTATCTCCTGGTGCTCGGGTCGCTGCTGCTCCTGAGCGTTTCGTACGGTGAGCGGTGGTGGGGGATCGGGAGCCCGAGCCTGGGGTTGGGGGGTTGGGGTGGGGGGCGGCGCAGGGTTGGGATGAGGGGAGAGCGGAGAGGGAGGAGGGCGGCTGACGGCGCGGTCGAAGAGGAAGGTGCAAAGGAGGCGAGGGAGGGAGCCGGGCGAAGAGACTGTGGGATGGAGGTCCGGGGATGGGAGGAGTGGCTGAGGGTGGAGCGGGTCGGGCGGGAGACGCGGAGCGGGACGGAGACTGCTGAAAGGGGGGAGCGGGACAGGTTGTTAGGGGGTCTGCGGGTCAGAGAGGAATATAATAATAATAATAATAATAATAATCCTCGCATTTGACATAGCGCTGTTCACGTCGGGAGGACGTCCCAAAGCGCTTCACAGAACACACTGTAAAGTGAATTGACTGTATATTTGTGGGCGAACGCGGCGGCCGATGGCGCACAGCGACGTCCCACAAACAGTCGTGGATTGAAAATGACCAATTTATTATTGTTTTGGGTTTTGGAGGGAATATTATTAGGCTCTGTGTGGAGGAAGGAAACCTGCCCGAGGTTTGGCCCTCTGCCGGGGATTGAACGCAGGTCTCTCGCTCGCAAAGCGAGTGCTCTAACCGCTGAGCCACAGGACTAAAGCCCACAAGGAGGGAGTTACCGCAGAGTGCGGTCGTTGGAGACCTCCTCGAAAGAAAGCGAGAGGATGTGGGTTTGATTCCGGGGCGGGTCAGGTCGGGGGCCACATGTGGGGCAAGTTTCCTGACTCCGCACACACACACGCGCGCGCACACACGCACACGCACACACACACGCACACACACACGCACACACACACACGCACTCACACACACACACACAGACACACACACACTCACGCATCTGTTTACGTGGCTGTAAGTAGGTTCCTTTTATTAAAATGATTCCTTTTTAAAAAAAAACCATTTGATCACTCCATCCACGAAGGCCCTCCGGGACGTCTCGAGGACACGATAAGGCGCCGTGTCGAACGCACGGCTAACGTTTGGGCAACTTTCCTCACTCCGCACAGAGCCTAATAATAAACCCTCCAAAACCCAAAACAATAAGAAATTGGTCATTTTCAATCCGCGACTGTTTGGGGGACGTCGCTGTGCGCCATCGGCCGCCGCGTTCGCCCACAAATACACAGTCAATTCACTTTACAGTGTGTTCTGTGAAGCGCTTCGGGACGTCCTCCCGACGTGAACAGCGCTATATCAAATGCGAGGATTATTATTATTATTATTATTATTATTATTAACGTCATTAACGGCTCCCGCGCTTCCACCCCACGTACAGGAGACGGCCTGCGATGCTATCACTGCGATGCAAGTTTAACGCCGTGCGTGTCTGGCGCGCGGACCTGCGCTGGAGCCGACGAGCGGTGCTACAAGGGCGTGGCCCAGGCGGGTAAGTGACCTGACAGCTCGTTCGAGGAGCTCTACCCCCTTTGCCTCAGTTCCCCCTCCTCGCGCGTTCGCCTCGACCGGAGACCTTCCGAGGTCTTGCTCGGCGGTCAGAGCGCTCGCCTCGGGTCACTCCGTCCACGGGCTGCTTGCGGGACGTTGCGGTGCGCAAGCGGCTGCCGTCCTTCCGCCCACACAACACGCGGTCCATTTATTTTCCCGGCCCATCCCGTGGAGAGCTTTGAGGCGTCCCGGAGACGCATCGAGTGCGAGGATTACTACGATTATTAATAGTATTATTATTATTTTTGTCGCTATAACCGTCGGCCTCTCTTGTTACAGGGGGGCAAAATGTCTACCTTGCCGGCTGCCTCGCACCTTTAGGCTGCAAGTTCAACATAGAGCAAAATTACCTGGGCTTCCCCGTCTCCTTGAAGACCTTCTGCTGCACGACCGACCTGTGTAACGCGGCCCGGCTGTCAGAATGCCTCCGTTGACCGGCGCGGCCCTGGCCTTTGCCTGGTTGGCGTATCTGCTGTAAAGCCGAGGCCTCCCCTACTCTCGCTGGAGCTCCACAGCGTCCACCCATCGCACCGTGACTCTCTGGGCTCGTTGGACGATGGGTGTTTCGGGTGGCGGGGGGGTGGGGGGGTAACGGGGGGGGGAGAAATACTGTTTAAATTTCATGCCGCGAGGGGGAACGGGATGCGAATGTATCACAGGTCATTCTTTGCTTCGAACAAATGATGAAGGGAAACCTTCACGTACAGGTCAGTTGTCCCGCGGTTCGCGTCAACCGACCTGTGTGATGGGGCTTCAGGTACCAGAACGCCTGTTGGTGGTTCCGGTCTTTGGCCGAATTGGCTTCTCTTTGGTTTCCTTTGGTCCCCCCCCCCCACCCCCCCCCACACCTGGGTCGCCCGAGGTGGCCGGAAGGGGGGAAATATTAACTCGAACGTCGTCATCAATAAACGCTTACAATTCATCAACGTGTCCGTGTCTCTCGTTCCTTCGTTGTTCGGACAGAGCAGCTCGGAGCTGGTCAAGCGAGACCCTCGTGGTGGCTGTCCCGTTCCGTGAGGATCCAGGGAGGCGGCAGACCACGTGAGCGTCGCGTGTTTGGTTGCAGTAACGCCCGTCTACTCCTCTCCCCATTGCGTCCCCAATGACGATGGCGTTGACGCTCTTCTCCCTGTGCGTCCATTTGCTTTCGTCTCCCCTCCCCGGAGGTACCGTCGCCCTGACCGGTATTCAGGACAGAGAACCGGTTTGTGAGTGCCACGCTCTCAGGGCACTTCCCCGCTGCCCGTCCCCTCTTCCTGCCCCGCCCCGCCAAGTGGTCACCCTTTCACTCTCCTTCTGAACCCTCCGTGGCCGTGGGGTTGACCACCTCCCGAAACGTTCGCTCCATGAACTCCTCAGCCCTCCCGTATGCTGTGAGGTGAGGTGTGGCCCGAGCCCGGGGCAAGAAGTTGGTGGCTTCTAAGCCGGGATTCCACGTGTCGTCTGCATTGCACCCCAATCAGACTGCGATTTGCTTGGCGACCCACCCTCGCCCTCGCCCTCGCCCTCGCCCTCGCCCTCGCCCTCGCCCTCGCTCGCCTCCACCGGCTCCCCATCCCCCAGAGGATCGAATTCAAGATCCTCATCCTGACCTCCAAGGCCATTCCCGGCCTCGCTGCCTCCTACCTCTCCGACCTACTATCCCCCTCATTACCCGCCCGTACCCTCCGTCCCTCTGGCTCCGGTCTGCTCCACGTCCCCCGCCCCAACCGCCCAACCATCGGTGGCCTTCAGCCTCTCAGCCCCGAGGCTCTGGAACTCCATCCCCAGTGCCTTCGCCGCTTCCTCCCTTTCCTCCTTCAGGGCCGGTCTCAAGACCTTTCTCTTTGACCTTCAGCCGTCAGCTCCGCTCTCGACTCTCAACCCCCTCCTCGCTCCCTCCTTTCCCTTCCCTCCCCTCACCCTGACCATCTCCCCCCTCCTCGCTCCCTCCCTCCCTTCCCTCCCCTCCCCCTGACCATTTTCCCCTCCCAAGGCTCGGGTCCCGACCCGACCGTCCAGCGCCTCGGGACGTCCTCCCGACGTGAAAGGCGCTCTACAAATGCAATCTTCTTGTTGTCGTCGTTGATTCTGTGAGTGTGTGGGGTGGGGGGGGGGTTCGGGGGTTTTGGTGGTGGGGGGGCCTGAGTGTGTGGGGGGGGGGGTGGGCCTGGAAAGTGGAATCTCTGTTTCACAATCACGCGACGAAAGAATGATTTAACCGCTCAGTTATTCACATCCCCATTTCAACCGGAGCATTTCCAACGGGTTGGGCAATGGGAAGCGTAACAGCGCTTCCTGTTTCGGTGACCCAACCCGCTTCATGCGGTCTCCTCTCGCAGCTATTTGCCCGATCGTTTAGCCGAGGGCGGAGAGGATGAAGTGTCTCCCGGTGCTCGGGTTGCTGCTGTTCCCGGGTGTTTCCCGCGGCGAGTGTTTTACCGGAGCTCGGCGGTTGGATCCGGGCGTTAAGATGGCTTTGCCGGGGTTGAGATCCCACGGGACAGCTGGGTGGGAGAAGGGGGTTTCTCCCTGTGTCCTGGCCAGCATTCCTCCGAATAAAATGGCTCGCTCGCCCCGTGTGTGGGGACTTGCTGCGTGCAAGTCGGCCGCCGCGTTCAGCCTCGGAAAAAAAAACCACACACACACTCCACGTTATCTCCTGTGAAGCCCTTTGAGAGGTCCAAGCAGCTCTCTGTAAGCCACTGAGGTCTCTCTCTCTCTCTCTCTCTCTCTCTCTCTGTCCGGCCCGTGCTCCGAGCTGCTCTGATCTCCACGTCAATGGGTCGTTTTATTCAGATGCACGAGAGGCTGAAGAAAGCGTTCCCCAACTTGACGCTCGGGAGAGTGATGCCCAAGGACGGGCACCGCGATGACGGGCACCGGTCCTCCTGCTCGTCCCCCGCGCCCTCCTCGTCGCCGTTGGAGATCGGCCACTCGGCCGCTAATTCCTAATTCCTCACGGCAGACTTGGCGTACGTGACGTGGAGTCCCGCAGCTCAGTGGTTGGAGCACTCGCTTTGCAAGCGAGAGACCCGAGTTCAATCCCAGGCAGGTCTATACCAAATAATAATACTGATAGGACGTCCCAAAGCGCTGCACAGAACACACTGTAAAGTGAATTGACTGTATATTTGTGGGCGAACGCGGCGGCCAATTGCGCACAGCGACGTCCCACAAACAGTCGTAGATTGAAAATGACCAATTTATCATTGTTTTATTTTGGAGGATTATTATTAGGGCTCTGTGTGGAGTAAGGAAACTTGCCCAAGGTTTCGCCCTGATCTGCAAGGACGATGTGGGTGGGGTTGGGGGTGTGGGTGGGGGGCTGAGATGTACTATTGCAGTTTCGCTTTCATGCAGTGAAGAAACGAAACTTAATTATTATGCAAATGTGTGGTTTTTGATATTCTCGGTTCACCTGAAGGACTTATAAAAGCTTCGGCAAACAGGAGTGGGTCAGAGTTTTCTGTATCGGTGGCGAAAGGCACTTTATTCCGTCTCCTCTCACATCTATTTGCCGGATCTTTACCGCGAGGACAGCGAGGATGAAGTATCTCCTGGTGCTCGGGTCGCTGCTGCTCCTGAGCGTTTCGTACGGTGAGCGGTGGTGGGCGATCGGGAGCCCGAGCCTGGGGTTGGGGTGGGGGGCGGCGCAGGGTTGGGATGAGGGGAGAGCGGAGAGGGAGGAGGGCGGCTGTCGGCGCGGTCGAAGAGGAAGGTGCAAAGGAGGCGAGGGAGGGAGCCGGGCGAAGAGACTGTGGGATGGAGGTCCACGGGGATGGGAGCGGAGTGGCTGAGGGTGGAGCGGGTCGGGCGGGAGACGCGGAGCGGGACGGAGACTGCTGAAAGGGGGGAGCGGGACAGGTTGTTAGGGGGTCAGCGGAGGAAGGAGGGGGCAAAGCCGTGGAGGACCTCGAAAGTGAGGACGAGGATTTTGTATTCTATTCTCTGAGGGACAGGGAACCGGTGGGGCCGGGAGATGGTGGGGGGGTAGGGGGGGTCACGGAGCCCGGCGCAGAGTTCTGGATCGCCCGCAGCTCGCGGAGGGGGGAGGTTCGGTAAAGCCCACAAGGAGGGAGTTACCGCAGTGTCGCGTTCAGTCGAACGGGTGGAGTGCGGTCGTTGGGAGACCTCTCCGCGCAAAGCGAGAGGATGTGGGTCTGAGTCCGGGGCGGGTCAGGTCGGGGGCCACGTGTCGGGCAAGTTTCCTCACTCCGCGCACGGCTGACCTGGCGGTCGGTAGGGACGCGAGGAGGATGATGATGGACTGTTTCTGTGTCTCCCCACACGCAGGAGACGGTTTGCGGTGCTATCACTGCGAGAAACACGATACCCCATGTATGTCCAGTTTGAGGACCTGCAGTCTTCCCCACGAGCAGTGTTACAAGGGAGAGTCTACGTTGAGTAAGTGGTTTGAAAGCTTCGCTCAAGTCCCCGGCGGTAATCCATCCGTCTCATCCGCCTCAGTCGCTCCTCATTCACGCGCAGTCCTGTCGCTCAGCGCTCAGAGCTCTCGCCTCACAAGCGAAGAAGGTCCCTGGGTTTCGATTCCCGGCTGAGCGAAATGTTGGGTAAGTTTCCTCCCTCCCACCCGCCCAACCGCCCGCGCACGCACGCACACACACACGCACACGCACACGCACACACACACCCACAGGGCTCTGATCACCCGGTTGTTAGTCCATTGGGGCGTCGCATTTCCGGTCATAATGATCCGTCGTTAATCAAACCCCAATACTAATCCGGTCACTCGATCCACGGCTGTTGGTTGGACGTCGCCGCGGGCTGTTGGCTGCCGGGTTTGCCCCCCCCCAACCCCCCCCCACCCCCCACCCCACCCCCAGTTCTACAGTGCCGTCCGGCGAAGCGCTTTGAGACGGTCCGCGAGACGTGGAAAAGGGCCGCGTCGAACGCGAGTTACCGGTACGGCTGTTACTCGCTCAACCTCAACCTCAACCTCTCCGCTGCCGTCTCGCCCGACCGACCGACCGACCGCGGTCGCTGCGCCTGACAGCGTAGTCCGCGAAGGGGCTTTCAAGTCGTGTCGGTGACGCGATGAGGTGCTGCATCAAGTGCAAGGAATATTATTATTATTATTATTATTATTATTATAATAACCAGATGTCTCTGTTGTTACAGTGGGACAACCCGTGTACGAGGCCGGCTGTATCGCATCTGATCGCTGCAACAAATCCACCCCAGAAACCGTGGTGGGTTTGCCGGTCACCTTAACCGCCTCCTGCTGCACCACCGACCTGTGCAATGGGCACCCAGGTACCTGGCCTTTGCCTGACTGGCCTATCCGGGGTGAAGCCAAGACCCCCACCTCGCTAAACCCCCACTGAAGGTTCACTTCATCCCACCCCCCCCACCACCCACCCACCACCCACCACCAACCCCCCACACTCCCCCCCACCCGCTGCCTCCGCTCGACCTCCTGTTTGCCCCTCGTCCCCTCCGCTCCGCTATCAGCCACCACCTCACCAAGCTCTGTCACTCTCTCACTCCGTCCCTCCGCCTCGCTCCCTCCCTCCCTCCCTCCGCCACCTTCGAACCCCGGCCAAAGACCTTCCATCCTGATCCTGCGGACGGCCAACACCGCCCTCCCTCCCTCCCCCTCTCTCCCCCGCCTCGGCTCGGGATCAGACTCACGCCAACTGCTTCTCCCGATCACCAGCTCTGTCTCTCTGCCTCCCCAGATGTCCCAGCAAACGGTCTGCAATGCTACCACTGCCCGGCAAGTCAAACCCCGTGTCAATCCAGGGCGTACATGTGCACTGGAGCCAACACTCAATGCTTGACCAGAGTGACGGAGGCCGGTAGGTGCCCGAACCCTCAACCATTGCCTTGATACAACACCAACAGCTTGTGTTCCCGCAGCAGCCCCTCATGGAGGGTAGCGTCCCCGAGAGCTTGACCGTGGCGGGGCGCGATGCCAAGCCGGGGGCACGGGGGGGGGGGGGGAGATGACCGTGGGCACTGTCGAAGAGGAAAGTCTTCAGGCTTGACCTGAAGATGGGGAGGGAAGGAGGGGGCAAGGCGGGAGAGAGTGACAGAGTTTTGGGGGGTAGCGGATGAAAGTGCGGCCACCGATGATGGAACGGAGGGCACAAGTGAGGGACAGGAGGCCGGGGCCGGTGGAGTGGAGGCGGCAGCGGGCGGTGGAGAGGTTTAGTGCGTGATGAGGAGCCAGTGGAGCTTGGTGAGGACTGGGGCGATGGGGTGGTGGGGGGGCGCGGATGGAGCTTAGGGTGCGCGACAGGGAGCCAGTGGAGCCCTTTCTCCCCCCACTACAGTCGCGACCCTTTACAGTATAGCCCGCGAAGCGCTTTGAGACGTCTCGAAGCCACGATGAGGCGCCGTATCCAACGCGAGGATTATTATTATTATAACCGGGTGTCTCTATTGTTGCAGCGGGGGTACGCTTTACTGAAACGGGATGTGCTGTGCCTCACGACTGCAAAATGAACGTAGACCAAACCATCTTGGGCCAGACGGTCTCCGTCAAGTACTCCTGCTGCTCGACCAACCTGTGTAACGCGGCCCCGGGTGTCAGAATGCCGCTGGTGACCGGCGCGGCCCTGGCCTTTGCCTGGTTGGCGTATCTGGTGTAAAGCCGAGGCCTCCCCCTACTCTCGCTGGAGCTCCACAACGTCCACCCGTCAGACCGCGGCTGTCTGGGCTCGCTGGACGCTGGGTGTTCGGGGGGGGTGGGGGGTGGGTGGGGGGTTACGAAGGGGAAATATTGTTTACGTTTCATGCCGTGAGGGGGTGGGAGGGGGGAACGGAACGGGACGTGAATGTAGATTTGCCAATCGCAGGTCATTCTTTGTGCTTCGAGCAAATGATTAAAGGAAACCTTCGTAAACGGTTCAGTTGTCCGGTCGTCGGTACAACAACAACTTGCACTTCGACAGCGCTCTCCAGGCCGGGCGGGGAGGGAGGGAGGGGAGGGAGGGAGGGAGGGAGGGAGGGAGGGAGGAGGGAGGGAGGGAGGGAGGGGAGGAGGGAGGGAGGGAGGGAGAGAGGACGGAGGGGAGGGAGGAGAGGGA